AGACTAGTGCATATAAAAGAATCTGAATATCAGGAAAAGTTTATTTTTTGTAGTTTAATTTAAACAGATCAGCTTTCACATGTTCTGTACTCACTGCATGTAAATGGCAATAATGCAAACTTTTTTAGCTCACAGAAATCATAAATCCAGCATTTCAAAATTGTTAGAATTTGAAGTTTGATTGAATTCAAAGAGTATAAATCTCATGTATTTCTTAGCCTAGTTCAGTTCCCACGACCACAATCAAGGGGAAGGCTGGTGACTTGAGTGATGACCTATGCTCTCCACAAAGAGGGTAAACCACCGAAGAGCATTGCTGAAAGGCTGGCTAGGAACGTTTTACGCTTAATCCTAAAAGTATAGAGCACAGGTGTCCAACTCCAGGCCTCGAGGGCCGGTGTCCTGCAGGTTTTAGATGTGTCCTTGAACCAACACAGCTGACTGAAACGGCTAAATGACCTCCTCAACATGTCTTGAAGTTCTCCAGAGGCTGGTAATGAAATAATCATGTGATTCAGGTGTGCTGACCCAGGGTGAGATCTAAAACCTGCAGGACACCGGCCCTCGAGGCCTGGAGTCCGACACCCCTGGTATAGAGGGTAGCGATAGCGTAATAATGGAAATTTGACTGGGAGGTAAATGCATGGTAAGAAAAAGGACACAAACAAAGAGAAATCAGAAAATGTCGACTCAAGAACTTGGAGTGGACCGAGGCTGCTGTCACATTTCTAATAGTGTCTTACCTGGATTAAGGTGAACTACACTGCACTGCTACTTTCAGAGGAAAGTTAATTTTGTGTTTCATGTTATTATTGTGCTTCATCGGCCAGAAGCCAACCCCAAGATATGGACACGTGCTTCCATCACAGCAACCTGGTCTTCAATAAAACCTTAGCAGTCTGGCCTGGAGGCAAGCTCTTTGCCTCCAGGCCAGACTGCTCTGACGCAGCAATTTGTAGCAAATGATTGCAGTGTTGGCGCTAAACGAACCAACACTGCAGAAGATGGAATTTCGGAACTGATTTCTTTAATTGTTGTCAGGAAACGCTTTGGGGATTTCTCATTTTCATGACTTAGAAACCAACAAATTGAGACAAAGAAAATGACCTGATATCTTTCACTACATGTGTGTTGACTACAGAAATATGAACATGAACCACAAAAAATAACTTTTTCATAATATTCAGGTTACCTGAGGCGCACTAGTGTCACTGCAAACTGAGTCTGACCTCCAGAACAAGCATGTTGAATTCACTATTTTAAAGGCGACAGCAGTCTTAAGCTGCTCTTTAAAACAGACGTGAGCGATACATACAAAATTACATCCTTTATAACTGTGTGACTGATTAATAAAAAAAGGAATCTGAAACGTCTCTGATGCTGTGACTCAATTAGGAAAAGCTGAATGTTTTGTTATCCATTTATTGCAATATCAACACGTCAGTTGTGACATATTTTGTGGAGCGATGATGATGTACTGGAGTCATCATCAGCCCCATATTATCAATCCTCAGACCTGCTGTGTGCCCACAGACAAACGTTCACAGAGAGACGGAAACAGGTTTGTTTTAAGGAAACCATA